GTAAAACCAAAATGTTTTGGTAGAGGCTATGAACATGTGGTAGAGGCTATGAACATGTGTGTGTATAAGTGATGGTCATACAAAAAGCATTTTTGCAAAAATGTGGAAGATCTGTGTACATGCCATTTGATTATAAAGTACACATGTGTGATTCTGATATGTGTGTTTATATGTGTAGTTGGCATTCTATAATTGTGGATGGACACAGCGTGGAGGAGCTGTGCAAGGCTCTGAGCCAACCGCGCCATCAACCCACCGCTATCATCGCTAAAACCATCAAGGGCAAAGGCATTCCAGGTAACTGTCCACTCATCGTATGCACATGCAATGCTCTCACTCTGCAACTTCAAAATGCAAAATGTAAATTGCAACATCTTTCCAGCCTGAGTCTGTGACCCTGTTACTACAGTGTTTGAATCCACCATTGCATGTTCGTTGTATTTGTGGTTTCAGCTGCAGAAGACAAGTTAGGCTGGCACGCAAAACCTCTGCCCAAAGACATGGCCGACATGGTTATGAAGGATCTGCAGAGTCGCATCGTGAACAGCAGCAAGCACTTGTACCCACCTGCTCCCATGGAGGACTCCCCGCCGGTCAGCCTGAGAAACATCAGGATGCCGAGCGCACCGAGCTACAAGGCTGGAGAGAAGGTGTGTCACCTGTGCACAAGCACAGACTTTATTCACATCCTCCTCTGCAGAAATCCCAGATTAAATATAAAGGAATTCAACATAAAGGCAGGTCTGTCATTGTTCATGCTGTAGATTGCAACACGGAAAGCGTATGGGATGGCTTTGGCCAAGCTGGGCCGCTACAACGAGCGTTTCGTGGTCCTGGATGGAGACACCAACAACCTCACCTACTCAGAGATCTTCAAGAACGAGTATCCCAACCGCTTCGTCGAGTGCTACATCGCACAGCAGAACATGGTATGATCCCTCACGAATCTAGAAATTCAAGTCTATTTCACAAAGCCATTTACAAATCCATCTTTATTCTGTCTTTGTCAAATGATCTCTCATATTTTAAAAACTATTTTAAAACATAAATAAAACCTGATTTTTAATGTGGGGATTTAGATAAAAAGGAAACTTCTTTATGGACAATATGGCGGCTGCTCACACCAGTAGTTTGCCATTGTCTTTTCTTTCTCCATTAATTATTCATTAAATCTTAGATTATTGGAAAGAAGCGTTAAGGCGTTAACTTCCTGTGTCGTTACGGCTCTGACAGAAACCCGCTCCAATGTAGGTCAGGCATGCGTGTGATGATAAGCAGTCGTGACAAGTGCATTCACAAATAAAATATTAATCAGTGAGGGTGGGACCATCTGGCTGAACGCATGAGAAAAGTCAAAAGTTCAATGACACAATAAGGTTGGTTAAATCAATATCCACTGTATTTCAAACGTGTTTGAACTTTTACGGATGCTTAGCTGCTGCTTCTGTCCAAACAAGGAGAGACGTTATGGGATTTGGAAGCTGTTTGAAGAAAGGACAGAGGAAATTATTTGTAAGAAGAGGTATGCCTCTAATTCCACCCATATGGGCGAAAAAGCTCCACAGATCAGTAGAAAACTAGCTCCTTGGTTCAAAGGCACTTTTATATTGTTTGTGCCATGAATATTTGACCTCTCTGGATGATCCTTTTGGGATAAAGCATGTGCCTATATCTAATCCGGCACATGCAGGAAGGTTATATCACCTTGTGCTCTTGTATAGGTACTAAGAGGCAATTCATTTCTTTTCCAGGTCAGTGTTGCCATGGGATGCGCTGCCCGCGAGAGGAATGTGGTGTTCGCCAGTACTCTTGCTTCCTTTTTTACCCGTGCCTATGACCAGCTTCGCATGGCAGCCATTTCAGAAAGCAACATCAACCTGTGTGGCTCCCACTGTGGCCTCTCCACTGGTTTGTAAACTGCTGCTAATGAGCCATGCACGCCACAGCCTTTCCCACACCCACGTCACTGCCACAGAAATTCACCTTTATTTCCTCACACTGAAACCAGACACCTCACAGCACCCAGACCTTGTTAACAGTAACCCCGATGCTGATAGACATACGAATGATCCGTGTGTGTGAGTTTGTGTGTTTGTCGGTGCGTAGTTGTTGCAACACTTTTTCCTTCTAATCCTGTGTTTTCCTTTCACATTCATCATTCACATCCTTGACCTTGCAGCTAGTACTCAACCCTCCCCTTTCTCTCCCTCTACCTATCTGCCCTGGAAGATGTCTGGAGGGAACCAGGTGTCCCTCTGTTAGCGCAGGTACACTGCATGCAAAGTCTGGCTCGATGTCTGTTTCTACCTGCATGTATAAGCTCACCTTATACCAGTCTATAGCTTGTGAGGATTTCTAATCATTGGATGTGTGAGATTAACGCCATGTGTGTATTTCAGGGGAGGAGGGTCCTTCTCTGATGGGTCTGGAGGACATGGCTATGTTCAGGGCCCTTCCCACAGCAACCATTTTCTACCCCTGTGATGGCGTCTCTACAGAGAAGGCTGTGGAACTGGCTGCAACCACAAGGGTACTTGAAACCCAGCTGCAGACGCTTCCCTACAGTATCAAAGACACATTTATGCAGAGCCCATCAGCTGCCTCAGTGGTAACGCTCGTCCTTTCTCTCCTTCACACAGGGTGTTTGCTACATCCGAACCAGCCGCCAAGACAGTGCCATCGTCTATAACAGCAACGAGGACTTCCATGTCGGACAGGCAAAGGTGAGAAAGACTATGAGCTCACACAGCTGGTGAGACAACAAGGGAAGTAAGCATTAAAAATAGACACCCCTGACACACACACATGGGCCACAGCTGTAGTGCTCAGGAGGTAGAGCGGGTTGTCCACAAATCAGACGGTTGCTGGTTCTATCTCTGGCTCCTCTGCATGCCGAAGTTCCAGTGTCCTTGGTCAAGAACCTTAAAACCGTCTCTGATGACCCCTGAGTGTGAGTGATGTGTGATAGAAAGGTGTGGCTTATAAAAGTGCTGTATATGTGCGTGTGAGTGGGTGACTGTGACTTGTGATGTAAAGTGCTTGTTATGACTGGAAAGCACTATATTAATGCAGTTTACACACACACACACACACACACAGTCACTGTGTAAAACATAATGAAACTGAAGATATGGTTCCATTAATTTTGATCATATATTATTATATATATTATTATATATGTATTACATATAATACCTTTTGCAGGTGGTGTACCAGAACAAGGATGACCAGGTGACTGTGGTGGCAGCTGGAGTGACTTTGCATGAGGCGCTGGCAGCGGCTGAACATTTAAAGAAAGGTACCGCACCATTACTGTTTTCAGTGTGAGCAGATGAAATACATGAAAAGAAAAAATTATGTTTTTGTTGGTGTGTTTATGAGCAATATTAAACACAAAGAAGACTGAACAGATTTTCACCAAAATTGTTGAAAGGAAAGAAATCATTGAATTTTGGTGCAGAACAGCATCAAGACACAGATATTTTTTCACTTTCTTTTACATTTTGAGATGGAGCATTTTTAAACATTACCACTGTTTTCCCAAAGAAAGAATTCATGGGCATATTTAGGGAAATGATATCTACAGTATGAGTGTGTGTAATTTGGTGCTTGATTGGTGTTGTTGGGCCTTGCTGGAAGTATGTGCTCTACTGAGTGCCATTCTATTTCCTTATTTAGCACAGTTAGCACTGAAAACAATACAGATTATCTTTAATTAATTTGCTCACAGGTCATTTTAATGAAAGCTTTTAATAAGGTTTGATGATTCTGTGTCAGTAACTGCAGCTCTAAACATTACTGTGTACAGAATATTCTAATCTAATCATCTCTGAGGTTTTATCCTGAAGAGCTTGAATGAATGTTAACCTGCTGGTTCAACCTGCTTCCGGTTGATAAAACACCTAAACCTTTAATGGATAAATGTGCTGCGTGTGAGCTGACGTGTTTATTTCAGGATGTGCTGACGTGACGATACTAACCACGTAATTCATTGATTTGCCAGAGCGGATCTCAGTAAGGGTTATTGACCCCTTCACAATCAAACCGCTGGATGCCAAAACCATCATTGACCACACACGTGCCACCAGGGGACGAGTCCTCACTGTGGAGGACCACTACTATGAAGGTACGTTTCCATGACAGTTGCCCATGTTACTCAGAGTCTGCATATCATATGAGTCCACCACTGACTTAACAGCAACACGCTTCTCAGCATGATGCAGCTGGGGCCCCTGCTATTGGTCCATGTCTCTGGGTGCGTTTTGCGGTGGCATGTTCTCATTGGTGCAGCGACAGAGACGCAATATGGTAACATTTGCTTATTGGCTGAGCGGGAGGCTGGCAGTTGTGCCCTCATTGCAGGGAAGGTATTGGTATTGTGGTCCTTTTTTTTAAGTGTGAGAGCAAGAGAGGCAAAGTGCTGTCAGATTTCCTTAACTGAGCACGTGCCCATGGGGCTCGCTGTGACCTAGATAGCACAGACATGGCCTGGAGAGAGTGGGGATGGGTGATAGCATGGACTTGACTGGACAAAGGATATTTGGCAGCTGTAATGAATCTGATGCTGGGCGTCTCATTCATTTTACATGTGGGCCAAATAAGGATTGTGGTTCAGCGGTCAAAGGGATATGTCTTACACTTGTGCTATGTACTTGATCTGATGTGTGCACAAAGTCTCATTTTTAGTGCAAACATATCTCATGCACCTCCTCCTTCATGGAGGATTCATCTTCCCTCTGGAGCTCTTGTCATATGATAACCTGTTTTTTCCACAGGGGGCCTGGGTGAGGCAGTGTGCTCAGCCATGGTCAATGAGTCTGGCTTCAGCCTGCACCGTCTGGCTGTGTCCCACGTTCCCCGCAGTGGCAAACCACAGGAGCTCCTCAAGATCTATGGCATCGACCGTGACGCCATCGCCCAGGCCGTCCGCAAGATGCTCAGCAGCTCCACCAACGCCAAGTAACCTTTTTCCCCTTGCCCCACCCACCTACCTACCTGATCACACCCCTGCGGATGAAAGTATGATTTTGATTCACATGACACCCATCTCTAAACAACCCCTTCACCGTAAATGCCCCCCAAGTGTGTACTGAAGTAATGTGATTTTGTGCTGTACGCTTTGAAGTAGACTTCCACATGTAGAAGAAGAAGATATACACTTTTATTGTCACGTTTAACACTTTTACATGCATACATGAAATTGTTCCATCCGGTTGTCACCTGTCGAAACACGCATAGAAACATACATTGACAGATGCCATGTACACATACATATACTGGAGCGGTGGGCGGGGGCGGTCACGTTTAACATTTTCACATGCATACATGAAATTGTTCTCCGCATTTAGCATAGAAACACACATTGACAGATGTCATGTACACACAAATACAAGCAGACAGATTCACGTGTACTTGTAATACCAGCACTGTCATGCATCCATTTCAGTCATCAATACGTGGCCATAATTCACTCGTCCAACAAAACCATGTACCCTCATGTGTACTGATGAAATTTGTTTTTTATATTGTTATGATGTAGCTTTGATAATACTGGGTGGGGCGTAGTTTTTAAGTAGATGTTTTAAATGACAAGGGTGTGGGAAAGAATCAAACCGAGTTGTTGTTTGTAGAAGGTAGTGGAGAAAAATATAAAATGAACAAATGTAGTTAGGTCATTAAGAGCAGTCACACAAAACATAAAACATCTTCATACAATTTCCCAACTGTTGTGGATTTAAAATCATCTCTCTATAGCATTTTTTCCTTTGTTACTATTTAAACACACACACCTCAGTGTTCATTTGTGCTACACTTGTACATCTGGACCACACCAGCAGTGTGATAGTAATAATCAGTGTGTGCTCAGTGACATCATCTCTTACATAAAGGTGGAGGGTTGAACATCCCTCCAGTGCTGCTGGAGAATATGGTTTTGGCTGTTGTCTATGACGGTAGAGTTCTGTCCGACTTGTGAATCAATCAAGACCAAACACTCTCTTTGTTACTTGAAATTTTGTATGCATCTTACGTTCATGTAATAAAGCCATCTGCATTTGACCCTGAGCGTTCACTTGTTCCTTTTTCCAATAAATGCCTTTGTGTCCATGCATTCAAGCACCACACACAGTATATGAAGGAATCTGTTCTTTAACTTTTAATTGAGTTCAAATAAATTAAAAATGATCAAGAATCACAGCTTCTGTATAAATATGAAACAGTTTTTCATGTAAATGTGGAGTACACGTCTGCAATACCAGTCTTTAGGTTACATCCATGATTTGTAAATTTTTCTTATTAACAACAAAATGCCAAACTAAATAAAGCATTCTTAAACATCCATGCTTGTAACTTCACTGTCTGTGGCAGTAAACTCCTTTTACCATCAGGACTGCTCTCCCTCTCTCAGTTTCCTGTCCAAAATAGACATGTTGCCATTTTAGATCAAACAAAAATACCATAATGGCAACTTTAAGAGACATTTAAAGACACCATATTCAATCCGTAATAAATGTGGAACCTTAAAATCACATTTTATTATCCTTTACCTACCATAAAGAGCTGTATTTCCGTTTTGCTCCCCTGAGTGCAAACACAATGATGCCACATCCATAAGACAGCGTGTAGACTGGAACAAAGCACAACATTTAACCAGAGGAATGGGATTTTTCTCAAACTGTTCATCAAGTCATGTGGTTTTACCGTGATACGAGTCTAGGTGCAGGACGGCCGTGAAAAGTGCAAAACCAAATCCCCAGCAAACATCTACAGAGAGTTAAAAAGTTAAGAAAAATGTTGACACTGATTTAACATCATCATTTAAACAGGATAAGAAGTTGATTTATATCGTTTTAAAAATTCACTGTAAAACTACTGACCATCATAAATGCTTTACAGACCATTACATAATAAATAATAACTA